GTCACCGCCGTCGTCGTCGTCGCCGTCGTCGTCGTCGTCGTCGTCGCTGTCGTCGCCGTCGTCGTCGTCGTCGTCGTCGCCGTCGACGCCGTCGACGCCATCGCCGTCTCCGTCGTCGCCGTCGCCGTCGCCGTCGTCGTCGTCGTCGTCGTCGGAGCCGCCGTCGTCGTCGTCGTCGTGGCCGTCGCCGTCACCGCCGTCACCGTCGCCGTCGCCGTCGCCGTCGCCGTGGCCGTCGCCGTCGCCGTCGCCGTCGCCGTTGTCGCCGTCGTCGTCGTCGTCGCCGTCGTCGACGTCTCCCCCCCCAATCCCATCAGGGGGGGGGGTGCTCGTGGAGCCCTGGGACTCATCCCATCTGGGGGGGAGGGGGGCCCGTGGGCCTGGAGCCGGGATCATGTATCGCTATGTTTTCTCAATTTTGGCTTGTGCGCGTTCTGACATGCACGGGTTTGTCGTTCTCCATTTCTCTGCGGCTATGCGGCATTGTCCACGGAGCTGAAAAATCAATGTAATAGTCGTGGGTCTATCGAATTGGGATGCCCGGCATAGGGTGATCCAACAGTTGGAGGTGACCTGGCTCGTTTCTGTGGTTTGGGATGTGTTGTTTTGCCCTTCTGCACCGCCTCGTACTCGTTCGCCTGGTCGAATGAGACAATGGTCAGCAAAAGATGGACTCATGACAGTATCCGTGTGTTCCGTCAGCTTCGTCGGCTCGGTATGCGTCTTTCGTCGAGTCGCCCATCTCCATGCTCGTGCAGCTCATGGAGGTCTGGGGGTGGCTCGGAGAGTGCTCAATCGAACGGGGGCGCCACGCTCCTTGGGCTGGAGTTGGCGGCAGCAGCTCGTATGTTGAAGCTTACGAATGAAGCCGCGCACCTCATGTTCATGCAGTGTTTCTTCGTGGTGATCTCAGAACTCGTCGGCGTCGGCTCGTGGTCCCTGGAAGAGTTCTTCTGCGTGTAGCATTACGTGGTGGCGGAATCCCTGGAATCCCTCCTCCTCCTTCTCCTCCTCCTTCTTCTCCTCCTTCCTCTTCTCCTCCTCCTCCTCCGTCCCACCATCAGCATCATCAGCATCAGCATCGTCAGCATCATCATCAGCAGCATCATCAGCATCAGCAGCATCATCAGCACCGTTCCCGAGCTCAAGCGCAGCAAGGCGCGCCCGGGGCGCCCGGAGGCGCGCGGCCGCCTCTTCCCGCATGGCGCCTCTGCTGCGGCTGCTGCGATGCTGGGCAGTCATCGCAATCTGCACCCAGGGGTCCGCTGCCTACGACCTGCCCCGGGGAGGGGGCAGGCGGTGTTGGCGGCTGCGTGCGGGCGTGGCTTCATCGAATGCACGTGCCAGTTCGGTTGCTCGGCGGCGACAGCTCTGGCATCTCGCTGCGGGTAGGCGACAGTTTTGGATGAGGGCGCGCAGCTGCTACATGATGGTGACGAAGCCTTCCCCCCTGTATGGGCGGAGGCAGTTCTACCTTGCGACGAGCCCCTTCGCGCACCGTGGACTGCATGGTGGAGAGCTCGAGGACCTCATGCTGCAGCCACTGATTTCGTGGGACGCGCACTCGGTGCTGGAGGCGCTGCGGCGCGGCCAGGATGTCGCGAGCGCAGCTCCCCGGTCCGCCTCCCCAGCAGTCCTTCCACGGAGCAGGCCGTGCCGCGCGGCCGCCCTGCTGAGCGGGCTGCTTGTGTTCGCTGCTTTCTTGGGGGCGGGCTGCGGCCTCGCGGTGTCCAAGGGAGGCTGGGCCGCTTCCGCGTCGCACGTCAGCCCCAAGTTCGTCCTCGTTTCCTTCCAGGCCCCGTGGCTGGGATCCGTAAGTGGCGCTTGGGCAGCCGCGCGGCGCTGCCTGGACTTCGACGCTACGCTCGGCTACCCAGGGGAGGGCCCTCCGATGCCGGGCACGCCGCTGTGTGGCGAGCGGCCCGCTCGGCAGCGGAGCCGCAGCTGGGAACGTGGCGCATCTTCGCCCCCGCTGGACCGCCGTGCGGATTTGGCTGGCGCGGCTGTCGCTGGAGGCAGGGCGGGCTCGGTCCCTCCTGGGGGACCTGGCCTGCAGCCCGGGGCTGGAGTGGAGGAGATGCGGCGCGGCGTCCGCAGGTTGCATTTCGACGAAGCGATGGCGGGAGGACCGCATGGCGGCCAGCTGCCCGGGGACGCGGTGGACGAGCTGCGGCGCGGCGTCCGCAGGTTGGACCTCGACGAGGCGATGCCGGCGGCGCCGAGGCACTACTGCCCAGTCCCTGGCTGCCCACGGGCTGACCCCGTATCTTCGCCAGGCTGGGCTTCGTTGGCGGCTATGCGGCCCCATCTGCACGAGCACGCATCCGGCCGCCTTCAGGGCGAGATCCCGTCGGAGTTCTTGTCCAGCCACGGCCTGACGCAGTGCGAGGTCTGCAGTAAGGTGTTGGCCCGACGGTATGGGCGTGCCTGCCCAAGGTGCCGCCCAGAGCTTATGGCCGCCTCCCGCGCGGCGGTCAGCGGCCGTGCCATACCCGAGGACTTCCCCTCCCTCGATTCCATTTTCGAGGACCCGACCGTGACGAAGAAATACGTGCCGGTCAGCGCCCGGAAGTTATGAGGGCAGTGCTTGGCAGGGGCCTTGTCTGAAGTGGCCCAGCATGGAGACGAACGGGCTTGGCTGGAGCTCGTGATGCTCCCGAATGCAGTCTTGCGGACAGCAGTGCGGGGGGGAAAGAAAAACCGGAAAAAGTGCGAAAGCGAGAGAAAGGAGCTTTGCCGGGCTTGGTTGGAAGGGCATCGAGGATCGCTGTGGCGGACGGCTCGGAGGGGATCGGGGGCGGGGGGGAGCAAGGAGTTCTCCAAGGAGCAGAAGGAGTCTAGGGCCGTGGAGTTGCTACGAGAGTCTTTGTTGCAGAAAGCGTGCGGCGCAATCGCCAACCAGCCCCCGGCCAAGGTGACGCCCGCCATCGTGGAGGAGATGCGTGAGAAGCACCCGCAGCCCCGTGAGGACGAGGCCACGAGGATGGCGCACCTCCGGCCTATCCACGCGGCGGCGGCGGCGGCTCAGGTGGAAGGCGACGTGGTGGCCAAAGCTGTCCGGAGCTTTTCGCGAGGCGCCGCGGGAGGCCCGTCGGGACTCCGCCCACAGCACATCAAGGACGCTTTGGTCCCCGGGTGGACGGATGAGATCCAGCGGCAGCTCACGGCTGTGGTGAATGCGCTGTCTCGCGGTGAGGTCCCTCAGACCGTCCAGCCCTGGCTGTGCGGCGCTGCGCTGTCGGCCCTGCCTAAGCCGGACGGGAGCCACCGGCCTGTGGCCGCGGGCGAGACGATCCGGCGCGTCGTGGGCAAGTGCTTAGCCTCGGACGCGAAGGACGACCTTGGCGAAGTGTTCGGCGCTTCCCAGCTCGGCGTGAGTACGAAGTTGGGTTGCGAGGCCATCGTGCACACCGTCCGCGCGTGGCTCTCGCGCAACTCGGCGTGCACGGGCAAGTGCATTGCTACGCTCGACCTCAGCAATGCCTTCAACGCGGTCGACAGGTCGGCGGTTTTGGCCGCTACCCGGAGGTGGCGCCCTTCCTGGGCACCATGGGCGGACCTATGCTACCGAAACAGCAGCAACCTGCGGCTGGGGAGCGAGCAAATCCAGAGCGAGAGGGGGGTTCAGCAGGGGGACCCCCTGGGCCCGGCGCTCTTCAGCTTCGCAATACACGAGCATGTCCTGGCTGCCCGGGCGGATGTCGACGCCATGTTCCCAGGCGAATTTGAGCTGTGCGTGTTTTACTTGGATGATGGCGTCGCGGGGGGGACAGCTCGGGCCGTGTCGGCCTTCGGCAGCCAGCTCAAACTCCGTTTGGCCGGGATCGGCTTGGAGCTGACGCCCTCGAAATGCGAGGTTGTCCCGGCCGCCAGCCAGCACCAGTTGCCCACAGATGCGTTCCCGGGGTTCACGTGGCACGATGGCAATTTCAAACTCCTTGGCGCGGCCTTCGGGTCCGAGGCCTTCTGCACTGCGCACACGCTCAAGAGGAAGGGCAAGGCATCGGCCCTGCTCGCCCAGTTGCAGGACGTGGACCACTGTCAGGGAGGGCTGCTGATGCTGCGGTCCTGTGCGGGGTTCTGCAAGCTCGCCTACTCTGCCAGAGTGGTCCCTCCCCGCCTGCATCTTGAGGCCCTCAGGCTTTTCTCGCTGGACCTGCGGAGCGGCCTGGAGGTCCTGGCGGAGGCGGAGCTCACGGACCACGCGTGGATGCAGGCGCAGCAGAGTATCGCGAATGGCGGCCTCGGGCTGCGTGATGCAGCGGCGCACGCCCCAGCGGCATACGTCTCGTCTGTCTGGTCGTGCCGGAGCCTCTGCGCGCGTATCGACCCCAACTTCGACGTCAATTGCGACGGCGGCCATTTCGCGGCGGCACTCGCAGCCCTCAGGGGGAGCTGCTTGGAGGCGGCCAGCTTGCACCTGCCAGCTGGCGCTGTCCAGCAGAAGGAGCTGTCGGCCCTCATCGACGGCCAACTGAAGGCCCAGCTCAGGACGGAGGCACGGGCCGAGGGGTCACGACTCGCTCACCTGTCCTTGGTCTCGTTGCCAGGGGCTGGCGCGTGGCTGACGGCCCCCCCAGTGGACGACGGGAGGGAAATCGAGGCGGCGTTGTTCAAGGTCGCTCTCCGGCGGCGCTTGCGGCTGCCGGAGGTGCCGGCTGACGCCTGCTGTCCATGCTGCGGTGAGGTGTTCGACTCCTTCGGGGACCACGCCTTGACGTGCTGCTGTAAAGGCGATCGCACGGTGAGGCACAACGCCATTCGCGACGTGGTCTTCGGCGAAGCGGTTCTCGCGGGGACCGCGGCAGTGCGCGAGAAGGCGGGCCTCCTACCGGCCAGGCCTTCCGAAGACGGCCTCGGGCAATCCGAGTGTCTTCGCAGGCCTGCGGACATCTGGCTGCCGCGGGTCTTGGGGGCAGCAGGCGAGGCGCTTGACTTCGCCTGCACCTCGGGACTTCGCAGTGACTTCTTGGAGAAGGTCCGCCGTTGATGGGGGGGAGGTCTTCCCGGCCTACGAGCACTTCAAGCGCACCTTCAAGAACACAGACGTTGAGTGCTCGACGGCTGGATTCAAGTTCACGCCCATGGTTCTGGAGTCCCATGGTGGTGGCTGGAGCCCCTTGGCCCGCAGCGTCCTCGACAGGTTCGCGAAGGCCCAGTCGGCGGCAGGGCACGAAGGTCAGGAGCCAGCTTCACTCCGAATTGCCCAGCGCATATCATGCACCCTGCAGAGGGGGAACGCGCGGGCAGTTTTGAGGAGGCTCGTTCCTCCAGCCACGCTCCCTGCCAGCAGTGGGTGGGGTGCGCCTGAACCCGAGGGCGTCGAGTAGTTAGGCTTCCGCGCCCTCCTCCTCGCCTCCTCCCCCCTCCTCCTCCTCCTCCTCATAGGCGAGGTCTGTCGTAACCAGCCCACCCTGGGAAAAGCGGCCGAAGTGTCGCAACCCTGATTTTGCCGAGGCCGCCCTCCGCCTCGTCCTCTTCCTCCTCCTCCTCCTCCTCCTCCTCCTTGCCCGAATCGTTGGCCCGAGTTTCGGCCACGTTCGCCGGGCAGCTTTGGACAGCGATTTTCGACACGCATTTGGCGCGTCGTGGCCTCCTCGTTTGGAGTTGGCTGTGGGTCACGAAGCGCTGTACTGAGTATGTCGTCCCAGGCCTTAGATATTGCTTCGCTTTTGTTTCGTTTCGGTCGCTCCTGCGCTTGCGCGCGTCCCGCCTTCCTCTGGTTTTGCTGCGTTGGGCTGCCTGTGTTCTCAGGGCCTGGCCTCCCTTCGTCGGGGAGGGCGGCGGAGTGTCTGAATAAGAGTGCTCCGCGGCTGATCGCCTTGGCCCCGAAGGGGGCGCGACGATGTGTACTGGCCTAGCTTGAGACTTCCAGGGGGGAACCGCGTTCATGGTCGGCAATGGGTGATGCTTACAGTGCCTTCGCTCGGGAAAGAAAAAAAACATCATCAGCAGCATCATCAGCTGTATCAGCATCAGCACAATCATCATGGTCATCATCATCAGCATCATCAGCATCATCATCATCAGCGGCATCAGCATCAACTCGTAGTCGTCAGCATCACCATCAGCAAAACCACCACCCGAGTCGCCGCGATCAGCGTAAGCAGGGTCATCATATTCACCGTCCTCTTACTCATCAGCATCAGCATCATCAGCATCATAATCATCATCATCATCCGCATCAACAACATCATCATCGGCATCATCAACATCATCAGTATCATCATCAGCAGCAGTAGCAGCAGCAATAGCATCAGCATGCTCGTCCTCTGCCTCAAGCTCGTCGCCATGATCATCATCATCATCATCATCATCATCATCAGCAGCATCAGCATCATCATCATCACCACCATCATCATCAGCATCATCATCGGCACCATAATGATCATCAGAGTCAGCATCAGCATCAGCATCATGATCGTCAGTATCAGCATCATCACAGTCACCATCAACAGTAACAATAACGACAATACAAATAACAACAACACTGACAACACCAACATCACCAACAACAACGTGGCCGTGATCGTCATCACGATCATCATCAGCAGTACCGTCATCGCCATGACAACATCATCAGCGGTATCACCATCATCAGCATCCTCATCATCAGCATCATCAGCATCAGCGTTCACAGTATCACCCCCATACCATCAGCATCATCATCAGCATCATCAGCATCATCATCAGCGTCGCCATCAGCATCAACATCAGCATCCACATCATCATTATCATCATCAGCATCACCATCATCACCTTCGTCATCCTCATCATGCTCACCATCCTGACCAGCATCCTCCTTCTCTCAATCATCATCAGCAGCATCAGTATCATCATCAACATCAGCATCAACATCAGAATCATCAGAATCATCAGAATCATCATCATAACCCGCATCCACTTCCTCTTCATTATCATCCTCCACATCCTCCTCCTCCCCCTCGTCCCTCTTCCCTCCTCCCTCCTGCCTCCATGTCCCTCCTCCCTCCGCCTCCACCTCCTCCACATTCCTCCGCTTCCTCTTCCTCCTCCTCCTCATTCTCCTCCCTCGTCCTCCTTCTCCTCAGCCTCGTCCGTCTCTTCCTCCGCCTCCTCATCCTCCTGCTCCTCCTCTTCCTCCCCCTCCTCCCCCTCCTCCCTCCTTCTCCGCCGCCGCATCGCCATCCTCATTCTCATCAGTCTCATCATCATCCTCATCATCAGCAGCATCATCAGCATCATTATCATCATCCGCACCATGACCATCGTTATCATCAGCAGCAGCGGCAGCATCAAGATAAGCAGCATCTTCATCAGCATTGGCAGCATCAGCGCCAGCACCATCGTCAACAGCACCAGCAGCATCAGCATCGTCGTCGTCCGAATCGCATCATCATCATCATTATCATCATCATCATCATCATCATCATCAGCATCATCATCATCATCATCATCATCATCATCAACATCATCAGCATCATCAGCAACATCATCCTCATCATCCGCAGCCTCAGCATCCGCATCATCAACATTAGCATCAGCACCAGCATCCGCATCAGCATCCTCAACATCATCAGCATCATCGGCGACGTCACAATCACCATCACCATCAGCATCATCAGCATCATCAGCATCACCATCATCAGCATCAGCATCAGCACCATCATCATCATCAGCAGCATCATCATCGTCATCACCATCAGCAGCATCGTCAACACCATTTTCACCAGCATCAGCATCACGTCATCAGCATCATCATCGTCATCAGAATCAGCAGCATCAGCATCACGTCATCAGCACCATCGGCAGCATCAGCATCATCGTCATCAGCATCAGCATCACCAGCATCGTCATCATCCGCATCATCATCATCATCATCATCATCATCATCATCATCATCATCATCATCATCAGCATCATCATCCTCAGCAGCATCATCATCATCATAATAATCAATATCATCAGCAGCATAATCAGCATCAGTATGATGGCCAGCAGCAGCATCAACATCATCATAAGCAGCAGCATCAGCATCAACAGCCGCATCATCAGCATCAGCAGCATCACCATCAGCATCATCAGCATCATCCTTAAAAGCAACATCATCATCATCATCAGCAGCAGCAGCCGCATCATCATCGTCGTCATCCTCAGCATCATCATCAATCAGCATCGTCATCATCAGCATCGTCACCATCAGCATCAGCACCATCAGCATCGTCAACATCCTCAGCATCATCATCATCATCACCAGCATCGTCATCATCATCATCGTCATCAGCATCAGCAGCAGCATCATCAGCAGCATCGTCAGAATCAGCATCATCATCATCAGCATGATCAGCATCATCGTCATCATCAGGATCGCCATCATCAGCATCATCATCAACAGCATCAGCATCAGCGTCAGCATCGTCAGCATCAGCATCAGCAACAGTATTACCCTCAGCGTCAGCATCGTCAGCATCATCAGCAGCAGCATCGACCTCGTCATCAGCATCGTCATCATCGTGGTCCGCCACCTCCTCCTCATCGTCAGAATCATCCTCGTCATCATCATAATCAGCATCACCACAAGCATCAACATCAGCATCAGCAACCGCAGCTGCTGATCAGCAGCAGCAGCATCGTCAGCATCACCATGAGCAGCATCGTCAGCATCATGATCAGTACCATCAGCGTGACAATCGTCATCGGCACCGTCGTCTAATCATGAGTATCACCATCATCATCCATCATGATCATCGTATTCATCATCAGAAGCAGTGCCGGCATCATCGGCATCCTCATCATTATCCGCATCCTCATCATCATCACCACCATCATCATCAGCATCAGTATCACCATCGTTATCATCATCATCAGCATCAGCATCATCATTATGAGCATCAGCATCATCAGCATTAGCTTCGTCAGCAGCAGCATCATCATGACCACAGACAGCATCGCCATTTGCATCGTCATCGGCATCGTCCTTGACGTCTTCATTACCGTCACCGTCATAAGCAGCAATACCATCAGCATCATCAGCATCAGCATCGTCAGCATCATCAGCATCAGCATCAGCATCATTATTATAAGTATCATCATCATAGGCATGAGCATCGTCAGCAGCATAATCATCATCACCACAGACAGCATCGTCATGTGCATCGTCATCGACATCGACATTGATGTATTCATCATCGTCACCATCATCAACAGCAATACTACCGGCGTCATCAGCAGCATCGTCAACAGCATCAGTAGGATCAGCGTCATCATCATCACCATCATCACCAGTATCAGTATAATCATCATCATACCATCATCATCATCATCATCATCATCATCATCATCATCATCATCAACATGATCTTCATCATTATCATAATCATCAGCAGCAGCATAATACTCTTTAGCATCGTCAGAAACAATATGATAGTAATGGTCGTCGTGATCATCAGCAGCAGCGTCATTAGCATCATCACAATCAGCTTCAAATTCATGATAATCAACAGCATCCATCATCAGCAGCATCATCACCAGCATCATCAGCATCATCGTCGTCAGCAGCGTCATCGCCAGCGTCTTCGGCGTCGCCTTCCTGTTCATCATAATCGAGAGCAGCATCATCACCATCATCCGTCTCCTCCCCCTCCTCCTTCTCCTCCTCCTCCACCTCCTCCTCCCCCTCCTCCTCCCCCTCATCCTCCTCCCCCTCCTCCTCCTCCTCCTCTCCTCCTCTCCTCCTTGTCCTCCTCCTTCTCCTCCTCCTCCTCTTCTCCTCCCCCTCCTCCTCCTCCCTCCTCCTCCTCCTCCTCCTCCTCCTCCTCCTCCTCTCCCCCCTCTCCTCCCCCTCCCCCTCCTCCCCCCCCCCTCCTCCTCCCCCTCCTCCTCCTCCTCCCCCTCGCTGTGCCAAGGGGTGCTCGGACGGTCTCCCTCGCTCGATGTTCACTATGGTGACCATGTCGGGCGTGGACACCGACCTCGGGGAGAAGGCCGAGAGGCAGGTGTCGAGGAGGAGCTGGCGAAGACGACGACACGGGCGAGGGGAAGACGACGACACTGGCGAAGGGACGACGACGGTGTCGCGGAGCTGGCGAAGACGACGACACGGGCGAGGGGAAGACGAGAGGCCGTCTGCCCCCTGGAGCCGTGCCAAACTGGCGGGGCGGCAAGCTCTGCATCGCAATACTATATACCTCGTCGCCGAGAGCGCCTGCCGCCTTCCCTTTCCCCCTCTTCCCTGCCTTAGCCCCTGGTCCCCAAACCCCTTCCCCTGCAAACCTCCTCCTCCTCCTCCACCTCCTCCACCTCCTCCCCTCCTCCTCCTCCACCACCACCTCCTCCTCCACCTCCTCCTCCGCCTCCTCCTCCTCCTCCGCCTCCCGCCTCCTCCTCCCCCTCCGCCCCCTCTCCTCCGCCTCCTCCGCCTCCTCCCCCCCCCTTCTCATCCTTCTCCTCCTCCTCCTCCTCCGCCTCCTCCTCCGCCTCCTCCTCCCCCTCCCCCAGCATTCCTATAGGCCGACCGTCCCGGCATTCATATATAGGCCTACCACGACATGTTCTCAGAACCCCAAATTGTTCTGAGAACGACAACAATGCTCTCAGAACACAAACCCGATATGTTAAAACAAGACAGTCCCAGCCAAAAATGTTCCCAAACATGCGACGTCCCGTTTTTTCAGGACGGCTTCCCTGTAAGTCCCGACCACTTCCCCTGGACTGGTTTCTTCGTCCTGAATCGTTCCTTGACGGTCCCGAGGCCTGGCGAGGGCCCCCCAGGCCGATAGTGGCCCAAAACCTCTGCGCCTGATTTCTGTTGCGACGCGATCCTGTCTTGGCTGTCACGTCGCGAGAGGGGGTCTGGGAGCGCCGCGCAGGAGCACCCCCTCGGCACGCCCTGGCACCCCCCGGCCTGACGTATACAGCTGCCGGGTTCATGATGGACCTGGCCACGGCCCTGTTGTTTGTGTGTATTTATTTGTGTGTCCCAGGGCCCCTCCATACTTTCGAGTCGGGCGAAAGGGGGGAATAGCAAGGGAGGGGGGTTGAGATCAGCTCGCGTAGCTGATTTTCCCGGCGCCTCCCGGCGCCGGGAGGCGCCCATGTATCGAGGAATGGGCCCCTCGGCGGGGCCGAAACCAGCTGCGTGCATCAAATTTCGTACCCCTCCTTTCCCCAACCCCCCCTTTCGTCCGGCCCGATACTTGTAGCCCAGGGCAGGGTCGTTTTTTTCATCCCTCAACTTCCGACGCGATCCTGCCCGGGGGCATCTCGGCGCCTGGCCCCGGGCGGGCCTCCGCGGCGCGCGCCCCGGGCGCGGGGGCCTGCGGGAGCGGGCCGCTGCCGCCCCCTCCCAGAAGGCTTCCCACGTTTTTCCCATGATGAAGGGGCCCTGGGACACACAAGTAAGTAGACACAAGCCACAGGATTCCCATACTTTCCCATGTCTTCTGGGTCTTTGTCTTCCCCCCGCACTTCCCATAGTTTCCCATATTTTCGGGGGGATCGACGCTTCATTGTGTCTGTGTGTGTGTTATCCCCTCCTGATGGTCGTAGCAAAAAAAAACAGGGCGGGAAGTTTTTGGCTGCCGCGGCCGCCCTCCCGAGGCCCACCCCACCCGCTGCCGGCTTCACGACCCAGACGTGCTCGCGTCGTGACCCAGACGTGCTCGCGTCGTGAAGAAAGTCAGGGCGGGAGGTTTCGGGCCACTTTCGGCCCGGGGGGGCCCTCGCCGGGCCTCGGGACCATCAAACAACGCCTCGGGACGGAAAAACTGGTCCCGGGGAAGGGGTCGGGACTTCCAGGGACGCCGTCCCGAAAAAATCGGGACGTCGCATGTCTGGGCCTCGATTGGCTGCTCCCCTACAACTTTCTACATTCAACAGAGCGACGATACCTGTACATCTCCACTGCTCCGTGGCCAGGTCCATCATGAACCCGGCAGCTGTATATGTCAGGCCCTCCGCGCTCGGCAAGGAGGGCGTATACACAGCTCCTGGGTTCAGGATGGGCCTGGCCAGGGAGCAGCTGAAATGTATAGATCCCGTCGCCCGCTCCAAAGACCCCCGAAGGCTATTTTGTAGCCCTCCTGAAGACCGGGGAGAAGAGGACCCCGCCTCCAGGGCCACCCCATCTGCCCCTCGCGACCCCCGGACAGATGCCGGAGTCGGTCCTGCTTTCCCAAGGCGTGGACGACAACGCGACGGTTCCACCCGCGACGGGGGCCCAAAGCCACGTCGCGGCAGCGCCCTCGCGCACCCGCGGGCGGAAGAGATCGGACCCGTGGGCCCGCCGAGCCCGCCAACGGCGCAGAGCGGCCGCGCGGGAGCCATAGAGATACCCGGGTCGTCCACTACCGCGGGGGCCCGGCCACAAGAGACCTTCCACAAGAGAAACCCAAATCCGCAGACCCCAGGACGTCCATCTCCTCCTCCTCCTCCTCCTCCTCCTCCTCCCTCCTCCTCCTCCTCTCCTCCTCCTCCTCCTCCTCCTCCTCCTCCTCCTCCTCCTCCTCTCCTCCTCCTCCTCCTCCTCCTCCTCCTCCTCCTCCTCCTCCTCCTCCTCCTCCTCCTCCTCCTCCTCCTCACTCTTGGTGTGGGGGCGTCACGCCCTCCGCAGCAGAGCCATCGGAGCCCGAGGAGCCCAGGGCACCCTGGAGGCGAGCAGGGTGCTTCTCGGCATGGGCCTCCACCGCAGGAGAAGAGACATGAGCGCGCTCTCGGGGGCGGCCAAGGGGGGGCGTCCAAGAGAGGGGGGTGCAAGTCATGGCCAGCGGCACGTGCGCGGCCCAGGGGGGGAGCCGGGGACGTGATGAAACAAGAAGGGGCGCCATGAAATCTGGTGAAACATCATGGCCCACGCCATGATGTCCACCCCCCCTAGTCACCACCCCCCTCGTGGCCGCCCCCGACCAGCAGAAAACAAGGAGTCCAACCAGCCCAGGGGGCCCGCGCGGCAGACCCGCACGGCGGGTGAGTCCACACCCTGCGCGCGGCAAGGCAGGTTTCGAAGACCGCGCCCTCCAGGCAATGCCACGGCGAGGTCCGCGCGGAAGCGCCCTCTCGACAGGAAACTACACCAAAGAAAAACCCCAATCAAAGGATGATTTGATCGATAAGGAAATCGACCGGGGTGTCCCCAGAACCCGGAACTCACCGAAATCGGCCCGGAACCAATAACCAGGAACCCGGGAACCCGGAACCGGGAACCTGGGAACCCAGCCAATTACCAAAATCGGCGGGAAACTTTCGCAAAATCTTTCAATTTCCGCTAGGACCCCTCCAGTGCAAGCACTGATTGGGGAAAGAGATCGACAACCTGAGCATGATTAATCACACAACGCTTCAATACAACGTCGCGGAAAGGGCCCCCTGTCCCAGCGAGAAGCAACTCAACATGGGATCTCGGGACCCGTCATCGCTGATCACGTCACGTTGCGATTTCCTGGTAAGTGGACAGCCATGCACCAGCAGCCCGATCTCCGCCCAGCCAACTCAAATTCATATGAGAGATCGTAAAGCGAAAGGGTGCTGCCGAAACGGACCTTGACGCAACCCACCGCAGCTGTGGTGTCACGTCAAAACGTCACGCGCCATCCGCGAAGCCAGTCTGCTTCCTGACAGACAAGCTTTTCGGCGACCCACAGTTCCTGGAAATTGCACGCGTTGGTACCGTCCGCCAGAAGGCAGAAATCCTGTGGCCAGACGCCTGCCCGCACACTGCTGGAGCCGCAAAAGTGATGCAGTAGACTCGTATAATAAGCATGCGCGATGAGGATGCAAGGGACCTGGAGGGCCATTTCGAGGCTTCTCGAGAGGGGCGCGGCCCACGGCGGCCAGGAGTGGACCGAGGAGGCGAGGATGCAGGGGTACCCTCGGGAAGGCCGCCCATCCTCTCCCTGCGGGTCGACTGCACCACCCTCGCTGCTTGGAAGCACCCGCCTTCCACCGCCCCGACACGCCCCGACGCGGCAAGGGCGCGCCGATGGGCAGCGTGCTCGGGCCTGGGCCCCCGCCGTGACAGCGAGCTGGCAGCCGAGGTGCGGCGCCCCCGGGGGAGCGACTTCCCCTGCTTCGGCCAGCACGACCGCGGACCGAGCGCTCGGCCGGGAGCTGCAAGGAAGAGCCGCCCGCGGGACTGCGAGCCCACTGGGGCATGCGACATACACGTTCGACGAAGTCAGGAGCGGCCAAGAGCGGCGAAGGCGTTAAGTCGGGCCTGTCCCCCTACAGGGGGATGTTGGGCGAAAAAAGCTCAGAGGGAAAACAAAAAAAAACTATGTTTTACTATATATCCCTCCTGTAGAGGGACACGCCCGACTTAACGAAGGCGTCGACGGCCGGGAAGGATAACCTCACAGACGCCCGACGCGAGTCCAGCGGCCGAGGCCGCATCGCGCGCCCCAGGAGACCTTGGGCCGCACTCGCCTGCAAAACTTCGGAGAATTGACTACTTACCAGACCACCCCAACCCAACCCGAAGACCCGAAAATGACCCGCATTTCGGGTGGGGAGGGGTACGGGTTGCATATGTGTTTCTGCAATGTTCCCCGACCCCCCCTCACCACTGGCAATGGAGGGAAAATTGAGGCCTTCGGGTTGGGTTGGGGTCGTTTGGTGGGTGGGGAAAAATTCGCCGACCCAACGGGCCAGAGGCGTGCTAAGATCTCCGGTAACTACTCAACAATAGTTCTAGTTCGCGCTCGCGGGGCGGCCCCTGGGGGGCCCCGGGCGACAGGTACCCCGGCTGATCCTCGGCCGGGTCCCGGGCGATCCCCAGGGGGGAGGCTATTCTTCGCCGCCCCTCACGAGGATCGTGGCCTCCGAGGGGGGGGGGCTGCAATCGACTACTTACCCAAAGAGGCCCCAGTGGAGCCCAATACGCCGCCAAGGAGCCCCAAGACGCTCCCAAGAACCCCCCAAGAAGCCCCCAAGACGGCCCCAAGAGGCCCTAAATAGCGCTCCAGGGGCGGCGGAATGA